CTTACACAAACAGATTGCACAGTATTCAACTTCCTCTGATCCTTCTGTGTTTGTGTTTGACTGAGGTCCATTGTGTCGTGGCCCACATTTCACACAACCATCCATCCATACAGAACACAAACCCAGGACTGAGGTTGTAGATCCAGGACTGAGGCTGTAGACCCAGGACTGAGGCTGGAGACCCAGGACTGAGGCTGTAGACCCAGGACTGAGGCTGTAGACCCAGGACTGAGGCTGTAGACCCAGGACTGAGGCTGTAGACCCAGGACTGAGGTTGTAGATCCAGGACTGAGGCTGTAGACCCAGGACTGAGGCTGTAGACCCAGGACTGAGGCTGTAGACTGACTGAGAGGCTGTGGGCGGCACGGTGGCAGAGTGGATAGCACTCTCGCCTCTCAGCAAGAAGGTCCTGGGTTCGAATCCCGGTTGGACCAGGGCCTTTCTGAGTGGAGTTTGCATGTTCTCCCCGTGTCTGCGTAGGTTTCCTCCGGGTCCTCCGGTTTCCCCTACCACTAAAAATATGTACAATAGGTCTGGCATGTGCCTCCTGTACTGGCACCCCCACTCCCAAAAATAACAATTGTAAACCGCTTTGAGACTCCGATGTGCAGTGAAAAGGCGGTATATAAATAAAGATTACTTACTACTTACTACTTACTGTAGACCCAGGACTGAGGCTGTAGACCCAGGACTGAGGTTTCCATATCTTCATGACCTTCTGAGAATCTGCCTCTTTGCTCTCTCCTTTCTTGTCCGGTTCACATTTCAGATCAAGCAGTTGTAATGATAAATCTGCTGCTCTTGTGAATATTTGATGCAGTAAAAGAAAAGCTCTGGGCCTGAGGTCTCTGAGGAAAAGGGTTTCATGGACTGAACATGAATCAGAGATAAGGAGGAGAAAAAAGGAGAGATAATGATGACTCTGCAAAAGAGAGAGACTGATGCTGTACTATTATTATTATTTATATTATTATTATCGACAGTAGCTCAGTTGGTAGAGCATTGGCCTTCAGGCCAGAAGGTCGTGGGTTCAATTCCCACCTCTGCACCTTCTCCACCGACTCCCACTGATGACTGCTGTCGTTGTGTCCTTGGGCAAGACACTTAACCCCACTTTGCCCAAAGCCCCCACTGAAAGATCAAGGCTATGCTCACACTCAGAGAGCAGCCGTCCTCCTGTGGACTCACCACCTGCAGAGGGTCAGTGAGGGGCTGGTGCTATGAGACTTGGGTGGCATCTCTGACTGCCACCCCCCTGACCCAGAAATGGATTAAAGGGTAGAAAATGGATGGATGGATGGATATTATTATTATTATTTATATTATTATTATTATTTATATTATTATTTATATTATTATTATTATTCTTATCATTATTCTTATCATTATTATTATAATTATAATCTTATTTATTATCATTATTATTATTTTTATTATTATTATGATTTTTGACAGAAACTGTGAATAATCTCATGACACATTCTCCATCAAAGCTGCTCTGAGTGGACTGTTAATTTAAACAGTGGAGCATGAGGAATGATCGGCTAAGAGATGTGGTGGTGATGCCGGACCCTGCGGCCTGAACAGCAGTGCAGACAATCAGTTTTGTTTCAGATTGGCTGCATGTTGTGTTAGAGCGCCCCCTGGAGGAATGCATGTGGACACTGCTCTATCAGCCTCAAAGGAAAGGCAGAGAAGACACATTCCTGCTTCATGGTGTGTTTCTGTGAACAGCAGAGAGACGACTCAAGGAAGTGCAGGAAGTTGTGTGTCAAATAAATGAATGAATAAATAATCTTACTCCTGTCCTGTCTGTGCGCTGCAACATCGACATTTCCTCACTGTGGGATGAGTAAAGATCTGATATACACAGGACTTGTTGTTTATGTGATTAGGGCTAATGTCAGAGCACAGGGTTATTCTGACTCATTTGACACCAGTGTTTGTAGCCATGGGAAAGACGTGTGTTGTCAAAATAGATAGTGTTTCCCAGAGTGCATTGCTTCATGTTGTGTGGAAGGGTTAGGGTCGTTTGACTCAAGGCAAGTTTATTTGTCTTGCACAGTTCATACAAAAGGAAACAAGAAACAGCACAAGGCTTCAGAATCATCAATAATCATCAGTAATCATCAACAATCATCAACAATCATCAACAATCATCAGTAATCATCAACAATCATCAAAAATCATCAACAATCATCAGTAATCATCAACAATCATCAATAATCATCAACAATGATCAGAAATCATCAACAATCATCAGTAATCATCAACAATCATCAGTAATCATCAACAATCATCAGTAATCATCAATAATCATCAGTAATCATCAACAATCATCAACAATCATCAACAATCATCAACAATCATCAGTAATCATCAACAATCATCAACAATCATCAGTAATCATCAACAATCATCAATAATCATCAACAATCATCAGTAATCATCAACAATCATCAGTAATCATCAACAATCATCAGTAATCATCAACAATCATCAACAATCATCAACAATGATCAGTAATCATCAACAATCATCAGTAATGATCAGTAATCATCAACAATCATCAGTAATCATCAACAATCATCAGTAATCATCAGTAATCATCAACAATCATCAACAATCATCAGTAATCATCAACAATCATCAGTAATCATCAACAATCATCAGTAATCATCAATAATCATCAGTAATCATCAACAATCATCAGTAATCATCAATAATCATCAGTAATCATCAACAATCATCAACAATCATCAGTAATCATCAATAATCATCAGTAATCATCAACAATCATCAACAATCATCAGTAATCATCAACAATCATCAGTAATCATCAACAATCATCAGTAATCATCAACAATCATCAGTAATCATCAACAATCATCAGTAATCATCAGTAATCATCAACAATCATCAACAATCATCAGTAATCATCAACAATCATCAGTAATCATCAGTAATCATCAACAATCATCAGTAATCATCAATAATCATCAGTAATCATCAACAATCATCAGTAATCATCAATAATCATCAGTAATCATCAACAATCATCAACAATCATCAGTAATCATCAATAATCATCAGTAATCATCAACAATCATCAACAATCATCAGTAATCATCAACAATCATCAGTAATCATCAACAATCATCAGTAATCATCAACAATCATCAGTAATCATCAATAATCATCAACAATCATCAGTAATCATCAATAATCATCAGTAATCATCAACAATCATCAACAATCATCAGTAATCATCAATAATCATCAGTAATCATCAACAATCATCAACAATCATCAGTAATCATCAACAATCATCAGTAATCATCAATCATCAACAATCATCAGTAATCATCAACAATCATCAACAATCATCAACAATCATCAGTAATCATCAATAATCATCAGTAATCATCAACAATCATCAACAATCATCAATAATCATCAACAATCATCAGTAATCATCAATTATCATCAGTAATCATTAGTAATCATCAACAATCATCAACAATCATCAACAATCATCAGTAATCATCAATAATCATCAGTAATCATCAACAATCATCAATAATCATCAACAATCATCAGTAATCATCAATAATCATCAGTAATCATCAATAATCATCAACAATCATCAACAATCATCAATAATCATCAACAATCATCAGTAATCATCAATAATCATCAGTAATCATCAACAATCATCAATAATCATCAATAATCATCAACAATCATCAATAATCATCAGTAATCATCAATAATCATCAGTAATCATCAACAATCATCAACAATCATCAATAATCATAAGTAATCATCAATAATCATCAGTAATCATCAACAATCATCAATAATCATCAACAATCATCAGTAATCATCAACAATCATCAAAAATCATCAACAATCATCAGTAATCATCAACAATCATCAATAATCATCAACAATCATCATTAATCATCAACAATCATCAGTAATCATCAATAATCATCAGTAATCATCAACAATCATCAGTAATCATCAATAATCATCAACAATCATCAACAATCATCAATAATCATCAACAATCATCAGTAATCATCAGTAATCATCAACAATCATCAACAATCATCAGTAATCATCAATTATCATCAGTAATCATCAGTAATCATCAACAATCATCAACAATCATCAACAATCATCAGTAATCATCAATAATCATCAGTAATCATCAATAATCATCAACAATCATCAGTAATCATCAATAATCATCAGTAATCATCAATAATCATCAACAATCATCAACAATCATCAATAATCATCAACAATCATCAGTAATCATCAATAATCATCAGTAATCATCAACAATCATCAATAATCATCAATAATCATCAACAATCATCAATAATCATCAGTAATCATCAATAATCATCAATAATCATCAGTAATCATCAACAATCATCAATAATCATCAATAATCATCAACAATCATCAACAATCATCAATAATCATAAGTAATCATCAATAATCATCAGTAATCATCAACAATCATCAATAATCATCAACAATCATCAGTAATCATCAACAATCATCAAAAATCATCAACAATCATCAGTAATCATCAACAATCATCAATAATCATCAAAAATCATCAGTAATCATCAACAATCATCAGTAATCATCAATAATCATCAGTAATCATCAACAATCATCAGTAATCATCAATAATCATCAACAATCATCAACAATCATCAGTAATCATCAATAATCATCAACAATCATCAGTAATCATCAACAATCATCAACAATCATCAGTAATCATCAACAATCATCAACAATCATCAACAATCATCAGTAATCATCAATAATCATCAGTAATCATCAACAATCATCAACAATCATCAGTAATCATCAACAATCATCAACAATCTCAGAACATTCAGAAGAGCAAAGATAAAGTCTCAGTTGAAGCAGAAACAGAAATATTTGTCGATAATAAACGTGTTTTGTTTCAGGACGATGTCGTCGAGGATCCTCATCAAAGGAGGAAAGGTCGTCAACGACGACTGCACTCAGGAAGCAGACGTCTACATCGAGAACGGCCTCATTCAGCAGGTACAGTCCCTGTGCTCCGCGTTTAGGTACAAGGCCCTGTGCTCCGGGATTTAGACCACAGAGAAGGCCCTGTGCTCTGGGTTTAAGACCACAGAGAAGTCCCTGTGCTCTGGGTTTAAGACCACAGAGAAGTCCCTGTGCTCTGGGTTTAAGACCACAGAGAAGTCCCTGTGCTCTGGGTTTAAGACCACAGAGAAGTCCCTGTGCTCTGGGTTTAAGACCACAGAGAAGTCCCTGTGCTCTGGGTTTAAGACCACAGAGAAGTCCCTGTGCTCTGGGTTTAAGACCACAGAGAAGGCCTTGTGCTCTGGGTTTAGGACCACAGAGAAGTCCCTGTGCTCTGGGTTTAAGACCACAGAGAAGGCCCTGTGCTCTGGGTTTAGGACCACAGAGAAGTCCCTGTGCTGTGTTGTGTCATAATTTAGAAATAATTTGTTTTGCATACTTGAATAAAAAGGTCTAAATGTGTTTTGTGTGTTGTGTTGTATGTTGTGTGTTGTGTTGTATGTGTTGTGTTGTGTGTGTTGAATTGTGTTGTGTGTTGTGTTGTATGTTGTGTGTTGTGTGTGTTGAATTGTGTTGTGTGTTGTGTTGTATGTTGTGTGTTGTGTTGTATGTTGTGTTGTGTTGTATGTTGTGTGTTGTGTGTCGTGTTGTATGTTGTGTTGTGTTGTGTTGTATGTTGTGTTGTGTGTTGTGTTGTATGTTGTGTTGTGTGTCGTGTTGTATGTTGTGTTGTGTTGTATGTTGTATGTTGTGTTGTGTTGTATGTTGTATGTTGTATGTTGTGTTGCTTCCAGGTGGGGAAGGAGCTGATGATTCCCGGAGGAGCCAAAGTGATCGATGCTTCGGGGAAGCTGGTTCTTCCCGGAGGCATCGACACGAGCGTGCACCTGGAGCAAACCTTCATGAACGCCGCCATCCAGGAAGACTTCTACAGCGGCACCAAGGTATGTGGGCCGCTAAGCAGTGAGAGACAGGGTGTGTTCTTTGGATGGGAGACCAGGCGTCACAGAGCGAGGCTATGACTCTAGAACTGCATCAAATCTTCAAAGACCTCAGGATTAGAAAATGTTACGGAAACTTCTTAAACTCAGTCTGAAAATCTCTTTTCCAATGAAAAAAAAAAAATAAAAAAAAAAACTTTTACAGCCCCTAATTACATTTACTAATGACTGAACATTTACTAATGACTGAATATTTACTGATTACTGAATATTTACTGATTACTGAACATTTACTGATTATTGAACATTTACTGATTATTGAACATTTACTGATTATTGAACATTTACTGATTATTGAATATTTACTGATTACTGAATATTTACTGATTACTGAACATTTACTGATTACTGAACATTTACTTATTACTGAACATTTACTGATTATTGAACATTTACTGATTATTGAATATTTACTGATTACTGAATATTTACTGATTACTGAACATTTACTGATTACTGAACATTTATTGATTATTGAACATTTACTGATTACTGAACATTTACTGATTACTGAACATTTACTGATTACTGAACATTTACTGATTACTGAATATTTACTGATTACTGAACATTTACTGATTACTGAATATTTACTGATTACTGAACATTTACTGATTACTGAACATTTACTGATTACTGAACATTTACTGATTACTGAACATTTACTGATTATTGAACATTTACTGATTACTGAACATTTACTGATTACTGAATATTTACTGATTACTGAACATTTACTTATTACTGAACATTTACTGATTACTGAACATTTACTGATTATTGAACATTTACTGATTATTGAATATTTACTGATTACTGAATATTTACTGATTACTGAACATTTACTGATTACTGAACATTTACTTATTACTGAACATTTACTGATTATTGAACATTTACTGATTATTGAATATTTACTGATTACTGAATATTTACTGATTACTGAACATTTACTGATTACTGAACATTTATTGATTATTGAACATTTACTGATTACTGAACATTTACTGATTACTGAACATTTACTGATTACTGAACATTTACTGATTACTGAACATTTACTGATTACTGAATATTTACTGATTACTGAATATTTACTGATTACTGAACATTTACTGATTACTGAATATTTACTGATTACTGAACATTTACTGATTACTGAACATTTACTGATTACTGAACATTTACTGTTCTGAGACTTTGTGGTCCATAAAAAATCATTCCTAACATCCTTTAATGAAATGAACCCAACTCACAACATCCCACTTTACCAAGAGCAACAACAGTCGACCTTTGACCTCTGAGGTCCAATAACAGCAGATCTTTGACCTCCTCATGTCCTCAGGAGGTCCTCAGGAGGTCCTCAGGAGGTCCTCAGAGGTCTGCTGTGGTCCTGCTCTGGACTCTGTGTTTTAGAAAGAATCTCTGATAGCTTTGGTCTCTCACAGAAACACTGACCTGCTCTGTCTGCTACAACACTGCAGCCATGTTTTTACCAACTGTAAACCATATGTACCATATGTACAATATGTATATGTACCATGTGTAGTTAAGTTAAAGGGGGGGTTTGTAAATCTGAGAATTCCCGGGAGAGTGTGTTGTCAACGACGACGGAGGCTCAGATCCAGAGGAATGTGAGCTGAAGTGGGTCGATCCGTGTGTGTGTGTATCTGTGTTTGTCTGTGTGTGTGTGTGTCTGTGTGTGTGTGTATGTGTGTGTGTGTGTGTGTATGTCTATGTGTGTGTGTGTGTATGTGTGTGTGTGTGTCTGTGTGTGTGTCTGTGTGTGTGTGTCTGTGTATGTGTGTGTGTGTGTGTGTCTTTGTGTGTGTGCGTGCGTGCGTGTATGTCTGTGTCACCCCCTCCAGAGAAAAGTACCCTTCCTCTTCCTCCTCCTCTTCCTCCTCCTCTTCCTCCTCCTCTTCCTCCTCCATCATACCAAAACCATCCAAAAGAAAGGAGGCGTAATATCCAGTCCGTGTGGGGATCGGGCACAAAGAGCGGAGCCAGTGGAATTGTGTCGTCTCCATGGCAACAGTGTTACTACGGAAACATCAGGAGCTCTTCAGCTATTCGCTGGAACCCTCTCCCATTAATGTGACTGAGGCTGTAGACCAGGACTGAGGCTGTAGATCCAGGACTGAGGCTGTAGACCAGGACTGAGGCTGTAGACCCAGGACTGAGGCTGTAGACCCAGGACTGAGGCTGTAGACCCAGGACTGAGGCTGTAGACCCAGGACTGAGGCTGTAGACCCAGGACTGAGGCTGTAGACCCAGGACTGAGGCTGTAGACCAGGACTGAGGCTGTAGACGCAGGACTGAGGCTGTAGACCCAGGACTGAGGCTGTAGACCCAGGACTGAGGCTGTAGACCCAGGACTGAGGCTGTAGACCCAGGACTGAGGCTGTAGACCCAGGACTGAGGCTGTAGACCAGGACTGAGGCTGTAGACGCAGGACTGAGGCTGTAGACCCAGGACTGAGGCTGTAGACCCAGACTGAGGCTGTAGACCAGGACTGAGGCTGTAGACCCAGGACTGAGGCTGTAGACCCAGGACTGAGGCTGTAGACCCAGGACTGAGGCTGTAGACCAGGACTGAGGCTGTAGACCCAGGACTGAGGCTGTAGACCCAGGACTGAGGCTGTAGACCAGGACTGAGGCTGTAGACCAGGACTGAGGCTGTAGGACGGCTGTAGACCCAGGACTGAGGCTGTAGACCCAGGACTGAGGCTGTAGACCCAGGACTGAGGCTGTAGACCCAGGACTGAGGCTGTAGACCCAGGACTGAGGCTGTAGACCCAGGACTGAGGCTGTAGACCCAGGACTGAGGCTGTAGACCCAGGACTGAGGCTGTAGATCCAGACGGACTGAGGCTGTAGACCAGGACTGAGGCTGTAGATCCAGGACTGAGGCTGTAGACCAGGACTGAGGCTGTAGACCAGGACTGAGGCTGTAGACCCAGGACTGAGGCTGTAGACCCAGGACTGAGGCTGTAGATCCAGGACTGAGGCTGTAGACCAGGACTGAGGCTGTAGACCCAGGACTGAGGCTGTAGACCCAGGACTGAGGCTGTAGACCCAGGACTGAGGCTGTAGACCCAGGACTGAGGCTGTAGGGACTGAGGCTAGACCCAGGACTGAGGCTGTAGACCCAGGACTGAGGCTGTAGACCCAGGACTGAGGCTGTAGACCCAGGACTGAGGCTGTAGACCAGGACTGAGGCTGTAGACCCAGGACTGAGGACCCAGGACTGAGGCTGTAGACCCAGGACTGAGGACCCAGGACTGAGGCTGTAGACCCAGGACTGAGGACCCAGGACTGAGGCTGTAGACCCAGGACTGAGGACCCAGGACTGAGGCTGTAGATCCAGGACTGAGGCTGTAGACCAGGACTGAGGCTGTAGACCCAGGACTGAGGACCCAGGACTGAGGCTGTAGACCCAGGACTGAGGACCCAGGACTGAGGCTGTAGACCCAGGACTGAGGACCCAGGACTGAGGCTGTAGATCCAGGACTGTGTAGAAGGTCTTTCATTCTTTGCCATGAAGATCCTCAACAGTTTCTTTTGTCTGTGATTGGCTCTCCCTAATCTCGCCCTCTGAGTCCCCCACTGTCTCCCTCACTGTCTCCCTCACTGTCTCACCCACTGTCTCACCCACTGTCTCACCCACTGTCTCCCTCACTGTCTCCCTCACTGTCTCACCCACTGTCTCACCCACTGTCTCACCCACTGTCTCACCCACTGTCTCCCCCACTGTCTCCCTCACTGTCTCACCCACTGTCTCCCCCACTGTCTCCCTCACTGTCTCACCCACTGTCTCACCCACTGTCTCACCCATGCCCTGCTCTCCCCCCAGGCGGCTCTGATGGGAGGCACCACCATGGTCATGGCGTTGGTCCTGCCCGAACAACACTGCTCCCTGGTGGACGCCTTTGAGAAGTGCAAGGAGCTGGCGGACGCAAAGACATGCTGCGACTACAGCCTGACTGTGGGGGTGACATGGTGGGGGCCCAAGGTACAGACTGTGGGGGTGACATGGTGGGGGCCCAAGGTACAGACTGTGGGGGTGGTGGGGGCCCAAGGTACAGACTGTGGGGGCCCAAGGTACAGACTGTGGGGGTGACATGGTGGGGGCCCAAGGTACAGACTGTGGGGGCCCAAGGTACAGACTGTGGGGGTGACATGGTGGGGGCCCAAGGTACAGACTGTGGGGGTGACATGGTGGGGGCCCAAGGTACAGACTGTGGGGGTGACATGGTGGGGGCCCAAGGTACAGACTGTGGGGGTGACATGGTGGGGGCCCAAGGTACAGACTGTGGGGGTGACATGGTGGGGGCCCAAGGTACAGACTGTGGGGGTGACATGGTGGGGGCCCAAGGTACAGACTGTGGGGGTGACATGGTGGGGGCCCAAGGTACAGACTGTGGGGGCCCAAGGTACAGACTGTGGGGGTGACATGGTGGGGGCCCAAGGTACAGACTGTGGGGGTGACGTGGGGGCCCAAGGTACAGGGTCTATACAACAAACTCTTCTCTCAAATCACACACTAAATAATCAGAATCAGAATCAGAATCATTTTTATTGCCACGTAGGTAACAGGAGGTCACAGACTTGGAAATTGCTTTGGCTCAGTGCAACAGTCAGAAAGAGATAATAAAAATAAGAATAAAAAACACTTCTAAAGAATACATTTAAATTTAAAATAGAGTTACAGTTACTATTTACAATATACAAGTGCACATGGTGCACACAATGTAAGGTGACAGCAGTACAGTGAAGTACATCCTCTGCTGGGCCTTCTTGATGAGGAGCTGATGGTCGGCTCCCACTTGAGGTCCTGGGTGATGGTGGTGCCCAGGAAACGGAAGGACTCCACAGAGGTGATGGGGGAGTCCATCACGGAGGGTGGGGGCGGGGGGACAGTGCTCTTCCTGAAGTCCACAATCATCTCCACTGTCTTCTGGGCGTTCAGCTCCAGGTTGTTACCACTGCACCAGGACACCAGCCGGTCCACCTCCCTCCTGTAGGAGACACCAGGACACCAGCCGGTCCACCTCCCTCCTGTAGGAGACACCAGGACACCAGCCGGTCCACCTCCCTCCTGTAGGAGACACCAGGACACCAGCCGGTCCACCTCCCTCCTGTAGGAGACACCAGGACACCAGCCGGTCCACCTCCCTCCTGTAGGAGACACCAGGACACCAGCCGGTCCACCTCCCTCCTGTAGGAGACACCAGGACACCAGCCGGTCCACCTCCCTCCTGTAGGAGACACCAGGACACCAGCCGGTCCACCTCCCTCCTGTAGGCGGACTCATCGTTGTTGGAGATAAGTCCAATGACGGTGGTGTCGTCCGCGAACTTGATCAGCTTCACAGAGTCGTGGCTGGAGGTGCAGTGGTTGGTGTACAGGGAGAAGAGCAGGGGAGAAAGAACACAGCCCTGTGGGGCTCCTGTATTTATAATCCGAGAGTCCGAGACATTCTTCCCCAGACGCACTCGCTGCTTCCTGTCCGTCAGGAAGTCAGTGATCCACCTGCAGGTGGAATCGGGCACGTTGAGCTGGGAGAGCTTGTCCTGGAGCAGGGATGGCAGGATTGTGTTGAAGGCAGAGCTGAAGTCCACGAACAGGACCCTGGCGTAGGTCCCCGGGGAGTCCAGGTGCTGTAGGATGTGGTGGAGGGCCAGGTTAATGGCGTCGTCTACAGATCTGTTGGCTCTGTAGGCGAACTGCAGGGGGTCCAGGAGGGGGGAGGTGAGGGACTTGAGATGGGAGAGAACCAGGCGTTCAAATGACTTCATGACGACAGACGTAAGTGCTACAGGTCTGTAGTCATTGAGTCCTGTGATCCTGGGCTTCTTCGGGACGGGGACAATGATGGAGGATTTGAAGCAGGCCGGGACATGTCAGGACTGCAGAGAGGTGTTGAAAATGTCCGTGAACACAGGAGTAAGCTCACTGGCGCAGTGTCTCAGAGTGGCCGGAGACACGTGGTCCGGGCCAGGAGCTTTGCGCGGGGGTGCAGCCTCAGGAAGAGTTGTTTAATCTCTTTAGAGGCTATTGTTAGGCTGGGGGCAGGGCTGATGGGTGGGTCGTTAGAGTAGTGGGGGGTGGGGGAGGGAGAGGTGTCAGGGGTAGCATCAAAGCGACTGAAAAATAAGTTCAGTTCGTCAGCTAGCTTGTGGTCATCAGCACAGGGGGGGGCTTTGGGTTTGTAGTTGGTGATCTCCCGTAGGCCCCTCCAGACAGAAGCAGTATCGTTGTTACCAAACTGCTCCTGTAGTCGTTCTCTGTGCCGGGACTTGGCTGCTTTCAGTTCTTTCCTGAACTGATATTTAGCTGCTTTGTAGCCGCTGCGGTCCCCCTCCCTGAAAGCAGACTCCTTTGCTTTCCTGAGCTGCCGGAGTTTAGCAGTGAACCAGGGTTTGTCGTTGTTATAGATGACCCTGGTCCTTGTTGGAATGATGCTATCCTCACAGAAGTGAATGTATGACGTCACAGTGTCCGTGTATTCATCCAAACTGTCTGTGGCAGCTCTGAAAAGGTCCCAGTCTGTAGATTCCATGCATGCAGCTCTTCCACAGCTTCATCAGACCACACTTTGGAGCTCCTCACTGCAGGTTTTGAGAGCTTTAGTCTCTGTCTGTAAGCAGGAACCAGATGTATCATGGAGTGATCTGAGAAGCCGAGGGCTGGCTTGGGAACAGCGCGAAAAGCTCCGCGCACAGAGGTGTAACAGTGATCCAGAGTGTTCTCCTCTCTGGTCGGGCATTTGATAAACTGTCTGTATTTGGGTAATTCCTGGCTCAAGTTTCCCTTATTAAAATCCCCCAGGATAATAATCAGAGAGTCCGGGTATAAACGTTCCATACACAGTACTTGCTCTGCGAGTGCCCGCTGAGCCTCGTGCACGTCCGCGCATGGCGGTATGTAAACAGAGGCAAGAATGAATGAAACAATTTCCCGCGGGGAGTAATATGGTTTACAATGAATGAAAAGATATTCCAGAGCAGGAGAGCAGTGCTTGGAGATCACTGTCACATCGTTACACCAGTTTGTATTGACGTAGAAACACAGCCCACCGCCTCTGCTCTTCCCTGAGAGCGCACAATGGCGGACACAGAGGACACAGAGGACACCAGGTCTCAGTGAAGCAGAGGACACAGAGGACACCAGGTCTCAGTGAAGCAGAGGACACCAGGTCTCAGTGAAGCAGAGGACACAGAGGACACCAGGTCTCAGTGAAGCAGAGGACACAGAGGACACCAGGTCTCAGTGAAGCAGAGGACACAGAGGACACCAGGTCTCAGTGAAGCAGAGGACACAGAGGACACCAGGTCTCAGTGAAGCAGAGGACACAGAGGACACCAGGTCTCAGTGAAGCAGAGGACACAGAGGACACCAGGTCTCAGTGAAGCAGAGGACACAGAGGACACCAGGTCTCAGTGAAGCAGAGGACACAGGATGAAGTCCTTGTTTCTTCTCATGAGCAGGCTGAGTTCGTCTTATTGCCCAGTGAGCGTACGTTGGACAGAAAAATTCCGGGGAGAGGCTCCTCTCCTCCTCAGACGCACGAGCAGCCTCCACGCTTTCCCCTTTTACAAGCCCACACTTTTTTGGCTAGAACATGAACTAAATCAGCCGCAGATGCCAAGAAAACAGGCAATAGGTCCATGGGAACGGTGGGTCGGATGTTCATAAGTTCCTCACGGGTGTAGGAACAGCCAGATGCACAGTTAAAAAGTAAAAACAAAAGAAGAAGAGAGCAGCAAAGAGCCGTGTCGACCGTACGAGGCGCCATCTTTTAATTAAACATCACTTTGTACAACATTTTTCATTTAAATGAACAATGTTTTTAGAGATGCACCCTTTTCATTACCACCCTGCTCTTTGAAGCAGAACAAACAGATGAAGTGTGACTGAGCACATCATACACACTTTATACACACTTTATACACACTTTATACACACTTTATACACACTTCATACACACTTTATACACACTTTATACACACTTCATACACACTTTATACACACTTTATACACACTTTATACAGACTGGTTCACTCTGCCTTTGGCGCTGAAGTCTGCTCCGCTTCACTGACCCTGCTCTGATACCATGTGTACCATATATACAGTATAATGTGTTGATAGTCAGAGCAGACAGTGATGTCACATCCTGAAGAGAAGCTTCATTCATCACAAAGTGGCAACATTTCACTAAATACAGAAGATAAAATCACATGAACCTTTGTTAGTCGCACAGTGGGGGGCGTGTCACTGTTGCAGAATAAAAGGAGGAAGAACAGTCTCAGTCACAGATGACACAGAGTCTGTTTTTAGAGAGATGCTGCTGTTTGTGAACTGAAAACTAAAACCAACTCTGCACCTGATGTTCTACTGTAGCAGCAGGTGTTTACTGATGTTCTACTGTAGCAGCAGGTGTTTACTGATGTTCTACTGTAGCAGCAGGTGTTTACTGATGTTCTACTGTAGCAGCAGGTGTTTACTGATGTTCTACTGTAGCAGCAGGTGTTTACTGATGTTCTACTGTAGCAGCAGGTGTTTACTGATGTTCTACTGTAGCAGCAGGTGTTTACTGATGTTCTACTGTAGCAGCAGGTGTTTACTGATGTTCTACTTCAGCATCAGGTGAAGAACAGAAATATGACATATCTGCAATAAAGTACAGCTGTAGCAATGATAATGATAATAATGTTACAGCCTGTTAGTACATCATAGTATATGTAGTATACTTGTATATGTAGTATACTAGTATATGTAGTATACTAGTATATGTAGTATACTAGTATATGTAGTATACTTGTATATGTAGTATACTAGTATATGTAGTATACTTGTATATGTAGTACATGTAGTATATGTAGTATACTTGTATATGTAGTATACTTGTATATGTAGTACATGTAGTATATGTAGTATACTTGTATATGTAGTACATGTAGTATATGTAGTATACTTGTATATTTAGTACATGTAGTATATGTAGTATACTTGTATATGTAGTACATGTAGTATATGTAGTATACTTGTATATGCAGGTGCGTAGCGAGATGGAGGCCCTGGCGCGGGACCACGGCGTGAACACGTTCCAGATGAACATGGCGTACAAAGACCTGATGATGCTGCGCGACGCCGAGCTCTACCAGAGTCTGCAAACCTGTAAAGACATCGGCGCCATCGCCCGGGTCCACGCCGAGAACGGAGAGCTGGCAGCAGAGGTGTGTCCTCTGTCTGTGTGTGTGTGTGTGTGTGTGTGTGTGTGTGTGTGTCTGTGTGTGTGTGTGTGTGTGTCTGTGTGTCCTCTGTCTGTGTGTCTGTGTGTGTGTGTCTGTGTGTCCTCTGTCTGTGTGTCTGTGTGTGTTAGGGTTTAATATTTTTCCCGAAAATGAGACGTATCAAATCCCGGGAAAAGACGGCGCGTTTCCCGGGAAATCCCGGGAAATAGCTGTTGTTTGTAGTTGTTGTTTTTAGCCCAAGTAATGTGTGATGTCACTCAAATATATAATCCAACAAAAGCTGCCATCTCCACTAGTGTTTCACCAAGCGACTTGCTTTTCTAAAGTAGCCATAGCGTTTTCAGACGTTTTGTTGATGGCAGGGACGTGCGGTGAGGTTTGTGATTGGGGAGGCACTGACTTTAAAAGTCAGATTTACAATCATTATTCAAATAAAATAGCATTTAATCACCAATGCAATGACATCCACAAACTTTATATACTGTAAAGATAAGAGAACCAGCTTCTTTTAATAATCTCACAACAAATCTAGCTGCTGACTCTGCTCCGCATCAAACAACATCTTTAAGTTCACCTTGGAGAGACCCATGAGGAAAACGCATTAGACTTATTAGATTTAAGCATGTTTATTGATTGAGCATGTTTGGCGCCCTAGGCCCGGGCGGGATGCTGTTGAGCACGGCGCTTGCTCGCGTGCATGATCCCCCCGGGGCCTAGGCACTGGTGACGGCAGAGGCAGTAGGCAACACGCTTCATGCGAGAAGGAGGAGGTGGGGCGGCGGCGGCTTGCAGACTTCAGAAGATCGGGAAGTGGGCGTCTCCGGCTTTTAACTTGCTGTCCTGGTGGTTATTGGTTGACTGGGTGTGGGCGTTGCTGGTATTGATGAGTCGAGGAAGAGCAGCCTGTGGCCTGGCAGCAACAGCCGGGTCTACCACGGTGAACTTTCGCGAAAGCTCCATTTCACCTTGGAGAGACCCATGAGGAAAACGCATTAGACTTATTAGATTTAAGCATGTTTATTGATTGAGCATGTTTGGCGCCCTAGGCCCGGGCGGGATGCTGTTGAGCACGGCGCTTGCTCGCGTGCATGATCCCCAAAAAGCGGGCTTGCGATTGGGATAGCAGGACGTACTGCGCGGGCCTGAGAGCATGAGCGAGCTGAGAACATGCGCATGTTCAGCCAGCCGCTGTAGCAGAGGAATCTTTGAGCGAACTGAGAACATGCGCGCACGCGCATGTTCAGCCAGCCGCAGCAGAGGAATCTTTGAGCGAACTGAGAGCATGCGCGCACGCGCATGCTCAGCCAGCCGCAGCAGAGGAATCTTTGAGCGAACTGAGAACATGCGCGCACGCGCATGTTCAGCCAGCCGCAGCAGAGGAATCTTTGAGCGAACTGAGAGCATGCGCGCACGCGCATGCTCAGCCAGCCGCAGCAGAGGAATCTTTGAGCGAACTGAGAACATGCGCGCACGCGCATGTTCAGCCAGCCGCAGCAGAGGAATCTTTGAGCGAACTGAGAATATGAGCGCACGCTCATATTCAGCCAGACGCTGAAGCAAGGAATCTTTGAGCGTTTGAGGAAAGTGCGTGCCGCCACCAGAATCTTATTGCTTACTTGCTTTGCTGGGAGCTTACGAGGAAGCCGGTAGACGTTGTGCTGCCATGATAGCGGTCGCATCTGGCCTGATGTAGGTGGAGAAGCCGAAGAGGACCAGCGCCCCAGCCGTTGCAGAGGAAGAGTGGGGGAGCCCCAGCGAGGTCGCGCGCGTGGCAGCGCCTATCCTGAAGGAGTGGGCTGTATAGAGCTGGGGAGACAAATTGCAGAGGAGCAGTAGGGATCTTAGCTGAGCTCTGAACCAGGTTGCTGTTATGGGAAGGTTGACTGGAGTGAGAATTAGAGGTCCGTTAAAATCTCCTTTTTGCCGCGGAGGCGAGTGTAACGCATCATGGACCTGTAGGGGCAGAGAGATGTGTCGAAGCGAGCTATTATTGTGTTGCAGGCGCCTCTGATCTTTGAATGTTTGAGATGAAGGTTGAATGGTCAGGGGACATTATGTTGGGTGAGAAGAGCGACCTTTGTTTAATGCTTCCACTACGTCGAGATGATCACGCATGACAGAGATCCTCTTTCTCTGCCACGTGTGATTCCGCAGCGCGCAGGCCACGACCACTGGGAATGTCTCGTGTAGGGCAGAGGAAATGCTCCGGGGAAAGTAGCGGGCCACGGCCGGCGAACCACTGGTCCTGGAAGAATCCCCCAAAAACCCACGGAAGGGGCAGCGTCCGTGTAGAAGCGGAGACCTGTAGGGGCAGAGAGACACACCGGAGAGGGCCATTGATGTTGCAGGCGCCTTTACGCTTAGAATCTTGGGTTGGAGAGTAGATAATTAGGCCAGTAGGATAGGACGGGAAGCCGTGTCTCGGACCGCATTGAAGGTTGAGTGAGCAGTGGTGAAACGCTTATGCAGAGAAGCCACAGAAGGCGAGCAGAAGATGCTGCGAGGAGGGCAGACATGTACTTGGAAGATGAGCCGGAGTTCAGCGCCGCTGCAGGATGGGCAGCATGATGGGGAGCCTGTGATCAGAAGAGTGAAGAACCAGGTATGGATGCCTTTGATTAGGAGTCCGATTGACGGCTCAGCGCAGCTACTTGGCCAGCTGCATCTGATAGAATCAGGAGATTCAGTAGAAAGATGAAGCACGACCGCCGAAGCGACCCTGGGAGCATAGGTGCGAGTCCGGCGCAGCGCGGCATACTCAGCCGGGCTGCATCCATTAGAAGCAGGATAAGCTTCTGAGAGAATGGGTTGCAGTAGCAGTAGCAGCAGCGGCAGCAGCAGTAGCCTCAGATAATAACAGCAAAGTCCTGTATCAAGCCGCGGCAGCAGCAGTAGCAGCGTCCTTAGAAAATAACAGTAATAATTCTGTATCAAAGCCACAGCAGTAGAATGTTGTTGTAGCTGTTCAGGGTTTCAGTAAAAGAGATGCGAAGTGAAGAGAGATGGCAAAGTAAATGAAGCAGCAGCAGCAGTAGTAGCAGCAGTAGCCGTATGAAGCAGCAGCAGTAGCAGTATGAAGCAGCAGCAGCAGTAGCAGTATGAAGCAGCAGCAGCTGCAGCATCCGTCGATAATAGCAGCAATAATCCTGTATCAAAGCCAGAGCAGTAGAATATTGTTGTAGCCGTTTAGTGTTTCAGTAAAAGAGATGCGAAGTGAAGAGGGATGTCAAAGTACATGAAGCAGCAGCAGCAGCGCAGCAGTAGCAGCAGCAGTAACGGTAGCAGTATGAAGCAGCAGAAGCAGCATTAGCAGTAGCAGCAGTAGCAGTATGAAGCAGCAGCGGTTGCAGCATCCGTAGATAATAACAGCCATAATCCTGTATCAAAGCCAGAGCAGTAGAATATTGTTGTAGCTGTTTAGTGTTTCAGTAAAAGAGATGCGAAGTGAAGAGAGATGTCAAGTACATGAAGCAGCAGCAGCACGGCAGCAGATGCAGTATGAAGCAGCAGCGGCAGCAGTAACGGTAGCAGCATGAAGCAGCAGCAGCAGCAGCGGTTGCAGCATCCGTAGATAATAACCGCAATAATCCTGTATCAAGCCACCGCAGTAGAATATAGTTGAAGCTGTTTAGTGTTTCAGTAAAAGAGATGCGCAGTGAAGAGAGGTGTCAAAGTAAAGAAGCAGCAGCAGCACGGCAGCAGATGCAGTATGAAGCAGCAGCGGCAGCAATAGCAGCAGTAGCGGCAGCAGAAGCAGCAAGCAGCAGCAGCACAATGCAATTCATACGAACAACAGACGTGTCACGCCAGCGTGCGCCGCTTGTCTCCGTGAGCCAGGTTACGTACGTGTCTGAAGAGCCGAGCCGTAGAGATAGGTGCAGCCTGGGAGCCTGCGGAGCGGCAGCGGCAGGAACAGCAGCAGCGGCACATGTAGTAGTAGGAGCAGCAGGAGCAGGCAGCAGGGACAGGCAGCAGCAGGAATAGGCAGCAGCGGGATCAGGCATCAGTAGGAACGGCAGCAGGGACCGCAGCAGCGGCGGTCAGAGAACCATGCCCACGGTTGTTTAAGAGCCTGAGGAAATAAATCAACCCGAATCCGAAACATTCCCATGCGAGAAACAGATGTCCCCTGGAGCCATCTTGCTACTTTGGTTATGGCAGATACGCATGAACGATCACTGATCCATGCGTTCATAGCTACAGCTCCACTTCAAACCCATTGCATATTCACATTGGGCCCCTTTTCTTTCTGCTGCACTTTCGAAATGCAACAACTGCAGTTTAGTTACCCAGTTTAATACTAGTGACCTAGCTATTTAAATGCATGGCCCCTCCTTCCTCCTGCAGATAGACGAATTTAAATACATCATTTAACAATAGTGACTTGCGAGTAATGAGATTGATGCTGTAAAGATGGCGCCGTGCAAGAGCTCTGTGTGTGCCGTCTGGAGCACGATGGGGTAGTCTTTGCACATTTTTTCCAACGTGGTTTTACTGCAAGTGGCAGAACATGAATCTGAATTAATGCACATTGCTCCTCTTATATCCCTCAGACATTGGAGATTGATGCCATTTAAGATGCATTGACCCTCAGTTAGCTCAACACGTGTAAAACGGAGCCTGCAGACCAAGCACGGGGCGAAGACTGACGCCTGCAGTCAAGTGCGTAGGGCAAAAACCAGCCGCCTGCAGCCTAGACTCCGGGATTAAACTGTCCGCGGTCGGCACACTCACTGTACTCACATGCCAGGAGACTTGGGAAGAGCAACGGGACAACGCGGCACCGCCAGTCGGAGGCAGGGACACGCACAGCACCGCCAGACCGTCTGCGCGCGGCAGCAGACCACGAGGAACGAGCAGCACAGAACCGCGGAGGGGCCCCGCGGAGCAGCCCGCAGAAGAGCCCGCAGAGGAGGAGAGCAGTGGGGATATGCGAACCATAGCAGGTGCAGGGACGCGGAGGAGGAGCAGACCACGAGCAGCCAGACTGAGGACAGCCGGGCCACGCGCACGAGCAACACGTGAGCAGAAGCGACCCCTCCAGAACAACGCATGCATTTGCGAACAGGAGCGTTTAGCGACATGCACCTTGCAGGCTTCAGAAGTTTGCAAACTTCAGAAGGCCGGGAAGTGGGCGTCCCCGGCTTTTAACTTGCTGTCCTGGTGGTTATTGGTTGACTGGGTGTGGGCGTTGCTGGTATTGATGAGTCGAGGAATAGCAGCCTGTGGCCTGGCAGCAACAGCCGGGTCTACCACGGTGAACTTTCGCGAAAGCTCCATAAGCGCAGGTGCGAGAGACGCGAGGAGAGAGGAGCAGAGAGAGACAGAGAGGAGCAGAGAGACGGAGACGCGAGGAGCAGAGAGAGACGCGAGGAGAGAGAGACGCGAGGAGAGAGGAGCAGAGAGAGACAGAGAGGAGCAGAGAGAGACGGAGACGCGAGGAGCAGAGAGAGACGCGAGGAGAGAGAGACGCGAGGAACATAAACAATAATTTAAACAAGTTGCAGAACTCTTGAGCAGTGTTTGAATCAGTGTTTTTCGGAAAAGCACTACTTTGCCGGTATCTGTCAATGTTCAACATAAAACACAGATTAACAAACTCCTCCCCCGCAGCCGGACTAACCTCGTAAGTCCAGTGGTGGTCTCCCAGTCTATATTAATTCTTTCTTTGTTTGAAAGTCCAATTGAGAAAAAAAATCTTCATTCAAATCATCCATTTTCCAGCAAAAGAAATAGCATTTTGGGCTGATTGTTTGTTAGCAACTCTGGTATGAACTTTATGCTCACTATCACCCCTAGCGGTGAGGCACAGATACCGCCTGCCTCACGCCAAGCTTTTTCCTTGTGTGTTCATCTACGATCAAAAGACTTAAACTAAATATAAATTGTACACACATACGTGCAATACACTACTAAACACTAAGAGGAGTTTAAAAAATGTTTTTAAAGCAGGATATTTGAAACAAACGGTGATATATCAACTGCACGAGCTGAGTGCACTCAGACACACACACACACACTGTGAGGGAGCGGTCTGAGGTGAGGCACGCAGGAGCGCTGCCTCACCTCGTCTCTTTGAATAGGAATAACGGGATTTCGGCGATTTTGACTTCAGAAATGATCAAAACTGATGGGAACCGTGCCGAATATACATTAAAAGCATAGGACAGTGGATATAAATTATATATTTAAACTAAAATAATTATTAGTTTCCAATAATGGCAGGTGAGGCTCTGCCTCCCCTGCCTCCCCTGACTGCACGTCCCTGGTTGATGGGCTTTCTTCAGGAATTTCACTATTATGAGATTCTAAATGTCTGCGCAATCCACTTGTCGACCAGTGACGTGCGGTGTGGTTTGGAGGCACTGACTTCAGCCCTGTCAGATGAACATATATCATATAAATCAACAGAACCTACAGAGCGGCTTATTCACAATTAGTTTGGCTACAGCAGAATGTTTTCCATGGCCCGCATAGTTTGCTCAAACAAAACGCAAAAGTTCGTAAAAGGCACATTTCCAATTGTGTTATGGGTCTTACCTTAGTTATTAATGAACAGCACAGACCACTTCGGTTCAGACCAGTTTCATGTTTAAGTCCAGATAATAGTTTGAGCGCAGATATGTAATCTCCCATTTGGAAATAAGCCCAAAGAGTTTTAAAGCGTAAAACAAAACGGGTGCCACCTCCATAAACTCCTGTGTGTTCGCTGCAGCCGACTCTCGGGCGCATCCAATTTCTAATATCAACCTTCTTACCCTTCTCCTCTCTTCCTTATCATTCCTATCGTCATTGTAAGCAGAACATTACCCTAAATGCATTTTATATGATTTTAAAAAAGTGTTATCTGTATGTTAGCCAAACTTGTTGCTGCCCTTAGCAGATGGAAAAAAAGAAAGGAGCTTTCTGATAGAATTGGACGTAACCAAATTCTGGGCTCACATGCGCCCCGTACCCTGAGGCTGGCCTCATTACAAGTCGTGGTTTAGCGCGATTAAGACCCATATTTGTTTCAAAAACACAATTTATGAGCCATCCTCTAAGCTGTAGACATGTTGATTGTAAATGAAATATGTTTGAACTTTGAACAACAATACACGTGCTTTATAATAGGAGCGCACTGTATTTTTTTTTTACTTTCATTTCCCGTTTCCCGTCATAACATTTCCCGGGAATCGGGAAATTGTTTTCATCAGATTTCCCGGGAATCCCGTATCCCGGGATTAAACCCTAGTGTGTGTGTCCTCTGTCTGTGTGTGTGTCTGTGTGTCTGTGTGTCCTCTGTCTGTGTGTCTGTGTGTCTGTGTGTGTGTCCTCTGTCTGTGTGTGTGTCCTCCTCTGTCTGTGTGTGTGTGTGTGTCTGTGTGTGTCTGTGTGTGTGTGAACTAAAACTATACATCATGTGTGTGTTTATGTGAAGGGCACAAAGGAAGCTCTGGAGCTGGGGATCTCTGGACCTGAAGGGATCGAGATCAGCCGCCCAGAGGAGGTACACACACACGCACACAGACACACACGCGCACACGCACGGACACAGACACACACGCGCACACGCACGCACACAGACACACACGCTCACACGTGCACGCGCACAGACACACACGCTCACACGTGCATGCACACAGACACACACGCTCACACGTGCACGCGCACAGACACACGCTCACACGTGCACGCGCACAGACACACACGCTCACACGTGCACAGACACACACGCTCACACGTGCACGCGCACAGACACACACGCTCACACGTGCACGCACACAGACACACGCTCACACGTGCACACAGACACACACGCTCACACGTGCACGCGCACAGACACACACGCTCACACGTGCACGCGCACAGACACACGCTCACACGTGCACGCGCACAGACACACACGCTCACACGTGCACAGACACACACGCTCACACGTGCACGCGCACAGACACACACGCGCACACGCACGCGCACACGCACGCACACAGACACACACGCGCACACGCACGCACACAGACACACACGCTCACACGTGCACGCGCACAGACACACACGCACACACGTGCACGCGCACAGACACACACGCGCACACGTGCACGCGCACACGTAGATAATATCATATTCAGTGAAACACGTTTCGTCCTGTGTTTCTCTGCCCACTGCAGTCAGATGAGACAAGGATCAGTTTGATATATTTGTGTTTCGCCCTAAATCACAGCAGTCGTCTTTGAGGACTTCACAAAGTTGTTGATTTCCCAAAAACAGATCAGAGAATCAAACAGTTTGACTAGAGGAAATGTAGTGCTGACAAACACAAATATGAACTTAGACCCGCTGCATCTGAGTCTGTGAGAGGGATGTGCACGAGGCTTTTACTAACTCTTGTTTTGTTCTACAGCTGGAGTCAGAAGCCACGCACAGAGCCATCACCATCGCACACAGAGTACGTGACTCTAACATGATCTGATCCTGTTTGAGCTTATGAACACATGAATGAGTGTGTGTGTGTGTGTGTGTGTATGTGTGTGTGTGTGTGTGTGTCCAGGCTCACTGCCCCATCTACCTGATCAACGTGTCCAGCACCGCGGCCGGAGACATGATCGCTGCTGCCAAGATGCAAGGTACTCTACTAAAGCTGGGATTGTAAAACCATAAACAAATACATGTGGTTAGGCTTTAAAGTACTAGCCCTGACTCAGCCCTGACTCAGCCAATCAGCTCGCAGCATGTGTTACTCAGATACAGTATGGCCCAGTCCCAATACCCACACTGCACCCTACGCCCTCCTATGAAGTGTGCATTTGTTTGAAGTGCGCGCAAGGGTTTGAGTGCGCAGGTTGCAAGCGTGCACAAAAGGTGGAATTGGGACATTGCACACTGAGTGCAGTTTACGTCATCGACTCGTCAAGAGATGGTCATTTTAAGACCTAAACTTTATAAAAATTAAAGGTAATTTTGTCTGACCCTTTGGGAAACAATATGAATTGCTTCACACACGTTATAATACATTTATATTAGTTGTTTTTAATTAGAGATAGCGGTATAATTTTAAGTTAAATGTGGGTAACTAACTATCTGGTCAGTTTTTATACATTCTAAGATTATTGTACTAAGTGTAAAGTTTAAATTGAATGTTATAGAAACGCTTGCTTTAAAAAGTTATTAAATTGTTAAAACACAATGTCCGTAATTCTTCATCAGACGTTTATGCTTCTTTCCAAGTAACATAGCAAAACTTATTTACACACATACTGCATATATATTTCAAAATGTATATTTAATTGCATTTTCCCGTCGTTTTGGTGTGTACCGCAAAGAATTATGGGCAATATCCTTCGCCGGAGTGCGCATAGATGCAGGCTACGGCGAAGTGTGGATCAGGGGCGCAAAGGGGGCGGGGCCAAAGACCTCCCTGGAGAATTGGGACACCCTACGCACTCGCACCCTTTATCGGGAACGCGCAAATGAGGGGCGCGAGGGTGGAAGTGCGAGTATTGGGACGGGGCCTATGTCTCTCTCTGTCGGGACAAACATATGAACCCAAACAGGTCAGTGTGGCCAGTTTTACTTATTTAACATTAACTATTTGTGTGTGTGTGTGTGTTGTGTGTGTGTGTGTGTTTGTGTGTGTGCGTCTGTGTGTGTGTGTGTGTCTGTGTGTGTGTGTCTGTGTGTGTGTGTGTGTGTCTGTGTGTGTGCGTCTGTGTGTGTCTGTGTGTGCGTCTGTGTGTGTGTGTGTCTGTGTGTGTGCGTCTGTGTGTGTGTGTGTGCCTGTGTGTGTGTGTGTTTGTGTGTGTGTCTGTGTGTGTGCGTCTGTGTGTGTGTGTGTCTGTGTGTTTGTGTGTGTACCGTTTCTCGCACCTGTCTGGACCTGGGGCTGGAGGAGAAAGCACCTGGAGAATGAGCTGAAACATTAAACTTATTTAACTTTCATTTCGTTTACTCAGAATGTTCCACAAATGTTTCGGCCATTTTGTTTCCCGTTGAGGCCAAACATGACTCAGACTTTCAGCGCTGATGTCACACACATCCATAAACTTAGCTACTTTCAATAGTTCTAATATTTTGAAACTATTCTAAACGGTTCAATAAACACTAGAAAAGGAGTCGTTCATTGGCTGAGACTGTCGATAGACGATGCTAACGTGCTAGCTCAGTGAAGCCCAATAGGGAAGTGCTCATGGACAAAGTTTTGCTCCAGCTCTCTCAGACTGACTGTTGCTAAGCTGTTTTTGCTGACTCTTGGCTCAAACATGTTTTTAAGATGCAGAGGTCAGGATGTGTGTGTTTGTGAGAAGTGAGGAGTGTGTGAGTGTTTGGACCGCGGCAGATCCAACATCTCCGTTTGTTCTGACCGCAGCGCTTTGTAAACACTGATTTGGAAAAATGCTATACACGAAAAGATGTATTTATTATTATAACCTGCTGATTTGGGTAGAGTTGAAGTTGGCTGGATGACACTGAAGCAAGACACAGGGCCATGTGACTCGCATCTGACCCGCGGGCCTTAGTTTGGACTTAACACATAAGAAGCTAATCGTGAATAAATCATTGCAAAGATTTTTGTCTCAAACCAATCACAGCAGAGTTACAAGTGATGTCACCGTTTACACTTCCTGTTGTGTTTGTAGAATCAGGGGCTGCCTTTCGTCTTTCCTCACCTGGTCCCTCCTCACCTGGTCTTTCTCACCTGGTCTCTCCTCACCAGGTCTCTCCTCACCTGGTCTTTCTTCACCTGGTCTCTCTCACCTGGTCTCTCCTCACCTGGTCTCTCCTCACCTGGTCTTTCCTCACCTGGTCTTTCCTCACCTGGTCTCACTCTCCTGGTCTTTCCTTACCTGGTCTCTCTCTCTTCCAGGGCCAACACCACTTGGTCTTTCCTCACCTGGTCTCTCTCACCTGGTCTCTCTCTCTTCAAGGGCCATCATTACCTGGTCTCTCTCACCTGGTCTCTCCTCACCTGGTCTCTCTCACCTGGTCTCTCTCTCTTCCAGGGCCATCATCACCCGGTCTCTCTCACCTGGTCTCTCCTCACCTGGTCTCTCTCACCTGGTCTCTCCTCACCTGGTATCTCTCACCTGGTCTCTCTCTTCCAGGGCCATCAACACCTGGTCTCTCTCACCTGGTCTCTCCTGACCAGGTCTCTCCTCACCTGGTCTCTCACCTGGTCTCTCTCTTCCAGGGCCACTGGAGGAGGCTGCTCTGACGTCACCGAGGCCTTCTTCCATGTTTTGAATTTTGTTCCTTTTTTACTTGTTTTTTTATTTATTTTTACTGAAAAACCTGTTTTTGGAGATGCCGTCCAACAGCCCCAGCACCGACCAGACGCCACAGGACCAGACCTCAGACCAAGCGGTGAGTCATGGATGTAGAACATACATGATGTAGAACATACATGATGTAGAACATACATGATGTAGAACAAACATAATGTAGCACATACATGATGTAGAACATACATGATGTAGAACAAACATGATGTAGCACATACATGATGTAGAACATACATGATGTAGAACAAACATAATGTAGCACATACATGATGTAGAACATACATGATGTAGAACATACATGATGTAGAACATACATGATGTAGAACAAACATGATGTAGCACATACATGATGTAGCACATACATGATGTAGAACATACATGATGTAGAACATACATGATGTAGAACAAACATGATGTAGCACATACATGATGTAGAACATACATGATGTAGAACATACATGATGTAGAACAAACATGATGTAGCACATACATGATGTAGAACATACATGATGTAGAACATACATGATGTTAGAACAAACATGATGTAGAACAAACATGATGTAGAACAAACATGATGTAGACCATACATGATGTAGAACATACATGATGTAGAACATACATGATGTAGAACATACATGATGTAGCACATACATGATGTAGAACATACATGATGTTAGAACATACATGATGTAGCACATACATAATGTAGAACATACATGATGCAGAACATACATGATGTTAGAACATACATGATGTTAGAACATACATGATGTAGTACATACATGATGTTAGAACATACATGATGTAGAACAAACATGATGTTAGAACATACATGATGTAGAACATACATGATGTAGAACATACATGATGTTAGAACATACATGATGTAGTACATACATAATGTAGAAAATACATGATGTAGAACATACATGATGTAGAACTACATGATGTAGAACATATATGATGTTAGAACATACATGATGTAGAACATACATGATGTAGAACTACATGATGTAGAACATATATGATGTTAGAACATACATGATGTAGAACATACATGATTTAAAACAAACATGATGTTAGAACATACATGATGTAGAACATACATGATGTAGAACTACATGATGTAGAACATATATGATGTTAGAACATACATGATGTAGAACATACATGATTTGAAACAAACATGATGTTAGAACATACATGATGTAGCACATACATGATGTAGAACATACATGATATTGAACAAACATGATGTAGAACATACATGATGTAGCACATACATGATGTAGAACATACATAATGTAGCATATACATGATGTTGAACATACATGATGTTGAACATACATGATGTTAGAACAAACATTATGCAGAACATGCATGATGTAGAACATACATGATGTAGCACATACATGATGTTGAACACACATGATGTAGAACATACATGATGTAGAACATACATGATGTAGCATATACATGATGTAGAACATACATGATGTAGAACATACATGATGTAGAACATACATGATGTTAGAACATACATGATGTAGTACATACATAATGTAGAACATACTTGATGTAGAACATACATGATGTAGAACTACATGATGTAGAACATATATGATGTTAGAACATACATGATGTAGAACATACATGATGTACAACATACATGATGTAGAACATACAGTATGTTTGACTGATACTGTTATATACGGCTGTAGGTAGAGTATTGGTCCCACAGTGGGAAATGTCAGTGTTGCATCAGCAGGTCATGTGGAGCACACAGCATGAAGGAACAATAACTCAAAATGAAATCTCTAACTTCAGGATAATAAAGAAGCAAGTGTAAAATGTTTATATTCTAGTGCAATAGTTGTATGTTACATCTGTACATGCTAGCATAGTTAGCATAGTTAGCATGTTAGTATAAAGTGACAGTGACACATGTGGTTTCTTATAATGATATAAAAATAGACGGGTTAGATCTGCACATGTCTCATGAATCTATTTTCTCATAATTATTTCCTTTTTTGGTCATTTTCATTGCTCTGATTCCTGCTGTGCCAGTTTGAACTTTTTTATCAAAATAATTCCTTTGCTTGGCCCTGATCGTCTTTGGGGCGAGGGTTTCTCCCACTTCCACTTTCTCGCTCTGGCACCCGGCCAACACACACTAGCTTTCCTCCGAGGCTCCCTTTAACTTCCTCACACAGAGCTTACAGGTACAGATCAGCCCAGAGAACAGTCTGACTGAAGGACACAGAGCTCACAGGTACAGATCAGCCCAGAGAACAGTCTGACTGAAGGACACAGAGCTCACAGGTACAGATCAGCCCAGAGAACAGTCTGACTGAAGGACACGGAGCTCACAGGTACAGATCAGCCCAGAGAACAGTCTGACTGAAGGACACGGAGCTCACAGGTACAGATCAGCCCAGAGAACAGTCTGACTGAAGGACACAGAGCTCACAGGTACAGATCAGCCCAGAGAACAGTCTGACTGAAGGACACGGAGCTCACAGGTACAGATCAGCCCAGAGAACAGTCTGACTGAAGGACACAGAGCTCACAGGTACAGATCAGCCCAGAGAACAGTCTGACTGAAGGACACAGAGCTCACAGGTACAGATCAGCCCAGAGAACAGTCTGACTGAAGGACACAGAGCTCACAGGTACAGATCAGCTCAGAGAACAGTCTGACTGAAGGACACGGAGCTCACAGGTACAGATCAGCCCAGAGAACAGTCTGACTGAAGGACACAGAGCTCACAGGTACAGATCAGCCCAGAGAACAGTCTGACTGAAGGACACGGAGCTCACAGGTACAGATCAGCTCAGAGAACAGTCTGACTGAAGGACACGGAGCTCACAGGTACAGATCAGCCCAGAGAACAGTCTGACTGAAGGACACGGAGCTCACAGGTACAGATCAGCTCAGAGAACAGTCTGACTGAAGGACACGGAGCTCACAGGTACAGATCAGCCCAGAGAACAGTCTGACTGAAGGACACGGAGCTCACAGGTACAGATCAGCCCAGAGAACAGTCTGACTGAAGGACACGGAGCTCACAGGTACAGATCAGCCCAGAGAACAGTCTGACTGAAGGACACGGAGCTCACAGGTACAGATCAGCCCAGAGAACAGTTTGACTGAAGGACACAGAGCTCACAGGTACAGATCAGCCCAGAGAACAGTCTGACTGAAGGACACGGAGCTCACAGGTACAGATCAGCCCAGAGAACAGTCTGACTGAAGGACACAGAGCTCACAGGTACAGATCAGCCCAGAGAACAGTCTGACTGAAGGACACGGAGCTCACAGGTACAGATCAGCCCAGAGAACAGTCTGACTGAAGGACACGGAGCTCACAGGTACAGATCAGCCCAGAGAACAGTCTGACTGAAGGACACAGAGCTCACAGGTACAGATCAGCCCAGAGAACAGTCTGACTGAAGGACACAGAGCTCACAGGTACAGATCAGCCCAGAGAACAGTCTGACTGATGGACACGGAGCTCACAGGTACAGATCAGCCCAGAGAACAGTCTGACTGAAGGACACGGAGCTCACAGGTACAGATCAGCCCAGAGAACAGTCTGACTGAAGGACACGGAGCTCACAGGTACAGATCAGCCCAGAGAACAGTCTGACTGAAGGACACAGAGCTCACAGGTACAGATCAGCCCAGAGAACAGTCTGACTGATGGACACGGAGCTCACAGGTACAGATCAGCCCAGAGAACAGTCTGACTGAAGGACACGGAGCTCACAGGTACAGATCAGCCCAGAGAACAGTCTGACTGAAGGACACGGAGCTCACAGGTACAGATCAGCCCAGAGAACAGTCTGACTGAAGGACACAGAGCTCACAGGTACAGATCAGCCCAGAGAACAGTCTGACTGAAGGACACAGAGCTCACAGGTACAGATCAGCCCAGAGAACAGTCTGACTGAAGGACACAGAGCTCACAGGTACAGATCAGCCCAGAGAACAGTCTGACTGAAGGACACAGAGCTCACAGGTACAGATCAGCCCAGAGAACAGTCTGACTGAAGGACACGGAGCTCACAGGTACAGATTAGCCCAGAGAACAGTCTGACTGAAGGACACGGAGCTCACAGGTACAGATCAGCTCAGAGAACAGTCTGACTGAAGGACACGGAGCTCACAGGTACAGATCAGCCCAGAGAACAGTCTGACTGAAGGACACGGAGCTCACAGGTACAGATCAGCCCAGAGAACAGTCTGACTGAAGGACACGGAGCTCACAGGTACAGATCAGCCCAGAGAACAGTCTGACTGAAGGACACGGAGCTCACAGGTACAGATCAGCCCAGAGAACAGTCTGACTGAAGGACACGGAGCTCACAGGTACAGATCAGCCCAGAGAACAGTTTGACTGAAGGACACAGAGCTCACAGGTACAGATCAGCCCAGAGAACAGTCTGACTGAAGGACACGGAGCTCACAGGTACAGATCAGCCCAGAGAACAGTCTGACTGAAGGACACAGAGCTCACAGGTACAGATCAGCCCAGAGAACAGTCTGACTGAAGGACACGGAGCTCACAGGTACAGATCAGCCCAGAGAACAGTCTGACTGAAGGACACGGAGCTCACAGGTACAGATCAGCCCAGAGAACAGTCTGACTGAAGGACACAGAGCTCACAGGTACAGATCAGCCCAGAGAACAGTCTGACTGAAGGACACAGAGCTCACAGGTACAGATCAGCCCAGAGAACAGTCTGACTGAAGGACACAGAGCTCACAGGTACAGATCAGCCCAGAGAACAGTCTGACTGAAGGACACGGAGCTCACAGGTACAGATCAGCCCAGAGAACAGTCTGACTGAAGGACACGGAGCTCACAGGTACAGATCAGCCCAGAGAACAGTCTGACTGAAGGACACAGAGCTCACAGGTACAGATTAGCCCAGAGAACAGTCTGACTGAAGGACACGGAGCTCACAGGTACAGATCAGCTCAGAGAACAGTCTGACTGAAGGACACAGAGCTCACAGGTACAGATCAGCCCAGAGAACAGTCTGACTGAAGGACACGGAGCTCACAGGTACAGATCA